CTGTTCTAGGTTGAATAATAATGGAAATGAGATATTTTATTCTTGCTTTGAATGTATTATTATGTTATTTAAATAATTTTGTTCTCTATAAATAAAGAAACCCGAATAGGTATAACATACACTTCGATCTTTTCTGTATGATCTATGATGTACCATGGTGGCTTATCATTCTAATCTTGGACGAATCATTAGCAAGGTTCGTTCTAGTTATATGAATTAATTATTTCATTGTTTTGTAGACGACAATTGATGAAGTTAAGCGCAGTGCTCAATACCAAGTGAACAGAGCATTGAAAGACCACTCAAGGTTCGTGACTGAGTTTGTCCTCCTTGGCGGGACTTCTTGTCCATGGTTTTTTACATTCTTTTGTCCTTATAAATTATGATTTCCTAAGCTAAAAAAAGTGGAATAGCATTTAGTTGGAAAAAATTTATGAGGTTGAAATGGCTACAGCCTACAATTGTTTTGCTTGTCTTGCTCTTCAGAAAAATTTTTCTCCTTAAAAACCATCTGTTGTTAAAATTTTTTTTTCCTTAGGAGCTACAGAAGAGACCAAGGGGAATTTTAGGAATAGGTATGCAGATTTTTGAAGAAATCTGAAATARTTTTGGTTCCAATATCAGATTTTCTAACATAATTCTGGTATTTTGATCGATCTCCAGATGGAAGAAAGACGAGAAATATGAACATTCAATGAAATCATTGAAAGAGCTGGGTTTATTGGATCTTACATTATTAAATGGCAAGCTTTTCTGGTCTAGAATGGGTGTAAAGGCTAGCTCACTCAATCACTGATCGACAAATTCTTTTTCACCTAGAGTAGAGTTCTAATTTTCAACTATTCCAGAGTTTCCAGACAAGTAAATATATTCTCATGTTACTTCCCAATCCTTCTCGTAGCCGACAGTTTCTTATGGGCCCTTATCGAATCTGGTAGTTCCTTATGGCATACATTTGGCAAAGTGATTTTTGTTTTTGAAAGTCTTTGGATCAGAAATTTTAACCAATGGAAAAGTGTTCTTTTACCTAGCTCTTCCGATTATATCTATGTTTATTTGGATGAGGATTTCATTTGTAAAAGTTTGTTTCAAGAAGATTCTTGACRGTTTGATGACATTATTGGTTGAAGTTCTTTTCTTGAGTCTCTAGACTGATTCTTCAGCAAGAACTGTCTTCTTGGGTTTCTTATTCAGTTCTTGGGTGTCTGTTTCAGTTTATGGGTTTTTTTTTTCTGGGCGTCTGCTTGGTGTTGTTTGGTGCTTCTTTTGAAGGTTGATATGGCTTTTTGGCTGTCCAAATCTCCCCTGGCAAATCTGTTCCTCCGTGTTTAATTCATCTCTTGGTTCTTGTAATATTTGGAGRACTTGACTTTATTTGTTTGGTTTTTTGGTTTTATTTTTACTCCTTTTGGGAGTGTATCTTTGAACATTTTTATCTTTTCAATGAGAATTTTATTTCTTAAAAAAAAAAAAATCCTTTTGTTGTCTTTTATTGATTTGGTTTTCTTTGATTGTTTGCAGTTGGTTGTGGTAGGGTTTTGGCCTTGTGAGATTCTAGCTCTCGTGTGCTTTTTCTCTCCCAAAATATCCTCTTTTGGCTGCCAAGTGTATCTTTAGTATTTTTGTTGGAGCTATTTGGCAGTTTTGAAGATGAAGATTGGCTTTTTTCTAATCAGGATTGAAAGCTCTGTTTTCATTTTAATGTTTAATTACTTATGGGTGGTGGATGACTTCTTTTCATTTGATTGGGTTGATTGAGGTTTGGAGGAAGTTATGTAGAAAAAAGCTGTTGGCTTGAGGTGGGTAAGTTGGATAATGGGATGTATCTGCGGAACCAAGTTTTCAATTTATGGCAGTCTAAGAGGCAGAATTTTGGCTTCAATCACTCTCTCTTTTGGTTGGTTAGTGATGTTATGAGCTGTATGTTCTGGAAATTAATGCCTCCAAGGGATTTTTTTTGAAGGATTTACGGTTGAAAATAAGTCTATTCAGGTATCACATTTGCAATTTGCTGATTGTAGAGATGATGACACTATGGTTGAAAATTCGATCAAGACAGTGAGAACTTTYGAGTAATTTTTGATTTAAAGGTGAATTGGGAGAGGTCTGCTATTAGTGGGATTAATCTGGAGGTTGACAAACTGATTTCTCATGAAAAAGACTTAACTGTAACGTCTTTCAAATAAGAAAAACTTTTCATTGATATATGGAAAGAAATAAAAATGTTCAAAGATACAACTTTCCAAAGGAATGAAATAAATAAGGCAAAGAAWTAAAAGAGAACAAACAACTAAAGCCTTAAAAAGGCCTCCCAAGATGAACAAATTGTGGTAAGTAATCCTTAAATAAATTTGAGAGTGAGCACCACTAAGAAGTTTTAAACTTAGCTAGATCCAAACATTCGAACCAATCCCTACGCTTGTCTTCAAAGATCGAATTCCTTTCGAACCATATTTCGTAAATTAAAGCTTTCACTGGATTAGACCATAAAAGCCGAGCTTTTGGAGGTAAATTGGGACCACAAAGAAGCTGGCATGGGGTTTGTAAGGTTGAAAAACTACCTATGCTTTATTTAGATATGTCTCTCAGGGATATCCAAAATATGCTGACTTTTGGCTTCCTATTATTGAAAAGTATTGAAAATCTAATCCAAAATTGTAAGAGATTGACTTTTGGCTTCCTACGCTCTGTTGGCTGAATGGGGTTGGAGGTTTGGTGGAGAGCCTAATGCATTATGGCGTAAAGTGATAGCAAGCTTATATGGGGAGTCTGATTTGGGTTGGTCCTCAGGCATTATGTTGAATGGCTGTCTTAGAAGGCCTTGGATCAACATCTCTCGGCAATGGCAGCATTGGAWCCAATTTTCAGTTTTTAAACTTGGTTCAGGTACATCTATTCTGTTTTGGCAGCATAAATGGGCTGGAGATCAGCTTCTTTGTGATTGTTTCCCAAAGATTTTCAAGCTTTCCATCCTACCTCTAGGGACTGTGGCAGATTTTTGGGATTCTCATACATGATTGGAAATTTCTCACAAGAAGGTTACTAAAAGATGATGAGATGGAGGAATTTTCTTCTCTACTGTCTCTGCTGCATCATCAATCTCCTTGTAATGCTTCTGACAGAAGGATTTGGTCTTTGGATAGTTCGGGTTCATTCACAGTTGAATCAATCTGTAAAAAATCTTTTGCTGCCTCTATGCCAAAAGGCTTATTCAAGGCTCGTTGGAAAACTAAATGTCCAAAGAAAGCAAGTTTCTTTTCTTGGATTCTTATTTATGGGAAGGTCAATACAGCTGAGGTTTTACAAAAGAAGCTCCCAGATTGCAGTCATTCTCCCTCGGTTTGTATGTTCTGTATGGCCAATGAAGAAAGTATGGAACATCTTTTTTTCTTTTGCCCTTGTGCGAGACAGTGTTGGTGTCTTTTTTTTTTGAACAAGAAACGAACTTTTCATTGATAAATGAAAAGGAACAAAAATTGTTCAAGGATACAAACCCCCAAGAGGGTGAAATGAAGGGGGATGAAGAAGGGGAAAAAAAAAGATACAAACAAACCAAACTTAATAAATGAAGCTTAAACATTACACAAAAGAGCCTCCCAATTAGAACAAATCATGCTAGGAGAATAATTTGCAAAGAGATTGGAGAGAGCACACCATTGTGAGGTTTTGAACTTAGCTATACTGTAGCATTCGAAAGCTGAGCGGCTTTTCCYTTCAAAAGTCATTTGATTCCGCTCAAACCATAACTCAAATATAAGCGCTTTAAGGCCGTTTACCCAAAGAAGACTTGCTTTATGCGAAAAGAAAGGACCAAATAGCAACTGAAAAATTGATGAAAATACTGACTTTTCCTTTACCCAAGCTAAATTGAACATATGAAAGGAAAGATCCCCGCAAACTGATGCATAAGGACAAAAGAGAAACAAATGCGCTTGGTCTTCGCAAGTGGCAGCACACAAAACACATATAGAAGGTTGGAGGAGCATGTTAGGGAGCTTCTTTTGGAGGGATTCAGAAGAATTTACTTTCCCATTAAGGAGAATCCATATTTGTTTTTCACTCTCTCGAGAGTTTGTATCTTTGAACAATTTTGTTCGTTTTCATTATTTCAATGAGGAGTTCGTATCTCGTTCAAAAAAAAAAAATTGTAAGATTGAGGCTCTTTCTCATTTCTTCAACTTTGAATTAGTTATTGAAAATTTGCTTTCTAGGTAAGGAAATGGTTGAATTTTTGTTTCTTGGATCTAATAGAAGTCTGGTTCCTTTTTTTTTTATTCAAAATATTCGATAGCATTATGGAAATTAATAGTTGTTGCATTCAGAGTAAGCGATTTTTGTGTTTGGTTTGAGGATGAGTGCTTTATTGTTGAATAGATGAAAAAAAAGATTCAGTTCTCTTYGGTCTTCTCAATTAAAGTGGTTTGAAAATTTCTTTGTTGAATTGATGCATAATCCAATTCGAGCTCATGCAAGATAGAGATGAGTTTGGTACTTGTCGTATTCATAAGATTAGAATTGTGATAAGACCCAACTTTATTTCTAAAAACAATGCCCAACAAAGGGAGGTTTGAGAGCTTCCCACSCTCCCTCAAGCATATGARCCTTACATAAAAGATACTAAAAGCCTACCTTTTCTGTTAGGCCTCCTATAGTGAGAACTTATTCTAGGGGGTAAGGAATGATAGAATGGGGGAGAGAGAGAGTAACGACTTGGAGAGAGAATGTGCAGCCAAGGAGTACGGTTGTGTAGAGGGAGGTAGAGAAGAACCCTCCGACGACGTAGGGTAGGTCAGTCTTGTTTTCAGTGTCGAGGATAGCTAGAGGAGAGTTCACCCACCCTCTCAAATTGGTGGGGTGTTTCTTGTACCACCTATGAGCTCTCTTTTCATCAATACAAGCATCCAAGYGAGGGGAATACCTCTCATTCTCCTTACCAAGTAAATGTTAGGATCCCAAATACAAGAACCTAAAGATAACTATATTGCAATACCCGAAGAGAAATTACAATATCGATAGCCTTTCGAGAGGACTATCCCTCTGCCAAGAACTCTCTCTAGTTCCTTCCACACAACTATTCTCCAAGATATCGTCCTTCTCCCATACTACCCTTATTTATAACCAACTTACCCCTAACTAATTACCATATTGCCCCTTCTCTAACGTACTAACAATACTCCCTACATACCCCTATTAGTACTCTCACAGAAAACATTGTATATAAACTAGGCCCTTCCTCACGTCATTTCCCCTCCTTCTAACTAACAATATTCCCTTGGGCTCACAAAATCCACAACACACACTTTCTCTGCTCCTTACGTACTATGTGCCCTCATAATTCCTTACGGACATATACTTGAGAAATTTCTCAATTGGGCGTCTGCCACTAGCTGATCTTCAAAGTACCAACTTGTCCTCAGGGTGGAAATTTGGGAATTGGGAAGAAATTGTTACACTAGACTCCCATGTAGTATCCTCAATCTTACCRCCCTCCCAACGAATGAGTACTTCAAGTGTTGCATCAGATTGTCCAKCCATGATTTTAATCTTTAATGTGAGTTCAGAATGCCATTTTATGCACATCGAGCAAGTTGTCGGGAATATGATGGTATTAAGATTTGAGGTCAATCTTCGAAAACACGATATCTCCATACAACTCATCCAACAACCCATTCACAACTGGGATTCGGTAATTATTATGGATTGTAGCTSTATTCAACACCCGGTCCTTTTTCTTGACTAAAKGGGGTCTTACGTATTATGTGCCCTTCATAATTTCTTACGTACATATACTTGAGTAATTTCTCAAATGGGGGCCTGCCACTAGCTGACCTTCAAAGTACCAGCTTGTCCTCAAGGTGGAAATTTGGGAATTGGGAAGAAATTGTTACACTAGACTCCCATGTAGCATCCTCAATCTTACCGCCCTCACACGAATGAGTACTTCAAGTGTTGCATCAGATTGTTAAGCCATGGTTTTAATCTTCAGTGTGAGTTCAGAATTCCATTTTATGCACATCGAGCAAGTTATGATTATGATGGTATTAAGATTTGAGGTCAATCTTCGAAARCACAATATCTCCATACAACTCATCCAACAACCCGTCCACAACTGGGATTCAGTAATTATTATGGATTGTGGATCTATTCAACATCCGGTCCTTTTTCTTGACTAAGGGTTTTGGTCTAGAAAAAGCACCGTTGATCAGACATCCTTGAATCGATGGTTGCTAGGACAGAAGAAAATACAGCTTGGTTAAGTTGGGGAAGAAAAAAGGAGGATGAATATTATTAGCTCTGATATCATGGGAGAATTCAATTAGCTATGCATGGAACAAAAAGAGGGAAAAAGATTCAGCTTAATCAGCTAACCTAATAGAGTCGATTAGTTTGGGGGTTCATTTCCTTGAACATTTTTCTATCTTTTCATCTCCCAAACAAGATTGATTAATTTGTTTTGTAACAAAACCGATTTAACGTCTCTTTATGAGGTATGTTTTGAAGTTGTTTTGTAATTATCAATTAGGTGTTATTCTTTTGGATTGAAGGCTCTTTCTTTAGGCGGTTCTCTAGCTTTTGGGGCTGGTGTTTTGTATGCCGTTCAATATGCTAGTTATCCTATAGATGGTACTAAGAATTTTGTAAATTTTATCTCTTATAATCTTTATCTGCTTGTAGGTTTTTGTTGGACTTGGATATTGCAGCTCCTAAAATTACAATTCCTGCAGAGTTTCATCTTGATGACATCAATTCGATAAAGCTTCTGATTGATTTGGGGAATTTGTTGATTCGAACACAGGTTGGTTGCTCCTATTTAAGAATAGCCTGGCAGTCTTCCAAATTTATTGCTTTGGTATTCAGCTATGCCCTTGGTATAACATTTTTTTAAAAAAATTAAGAGGCTACAAAAGATATTCTGGAAGACGACTGACGATTATAAAACAAGCTACATAACAAAAGGATTAAATGCACAAAATAGGCTAAATATTTTTCTTCCATTCTCGTAAGCAACAAATATTCTTATATGCCTCCAATCTAAATCACCTACTAGATTGTTTTCCGCTGTAACTTCACCACCAGGTAAAGGTCCATAACTAATAAGGTTGAAGCCATAAAATTATAAAATGAATGATCAAGGAACACCTCGTCCACTGTGTAAATTGTACCAACTAGGGTATTAGAAAGTGAGGGGCCTTTTTTCCCCTGTGCAAAGAACGCAAGCAGTAATTATTTCGAAGATATAAGAACTGATGAAAATCATGAATCTTTAGAACAGTTTTATTTTTTACTTCTTGTTCTTAATTTAGTCAAGTAAGAGCTTGGACTCTCAAGAACTTATAAAAATACTTGAAGTGAGAATTACATAATTTGTATGCCTATTGTATGAAGCATCCAATTCTTCTCATTATGCAAGGGATATTGACACTGTAAATGAATATTTTCTTAGGCAAAAACCAACAACTTTCAATTGCAAAAAGAATGTTTTTAAGAAAATATTTAGAAGAAACCATATTCTGGTGGTGATAGTCTTACCTGTGCATTAAATGAGTATCAGTACCATAATTTAATTTCTTCTATATACCTTCTTCAGAGAGATTCTATATGAAGATGGTGCAATTAARAAGTCGAGTCATTATGTGATGTAGTCATAGATGTCTTTGTTTGAGTTATAAGGTTGTAAACGGGGCTGTAGGTTATGATCATTTGTATTTTTCCTTTTACTACACAGTAACTTGAAGATACTGTTAGTTTGTTATTGTTAGTTTGTTATTTCAGAAACCTCTATAAATAGGTTTCTGCTCCTTATTAATAAAGACAGATTACATTCATCTTAAAACCTTGTGCAAGATTG